TATCAAATTAAATCCTTACAGATAAATGTATAAAGCTGCCAAAGTAGGGAATAAATTTCATAAATTTGTGAATGTGGTTTTAATTCTTGTTTCATTACTATTTTTAGCAGGATCCCTACTTTATTTTAAAATTCATAAGTTTTTAATACTCTTGTTTGTATACTTTTATGTTATACCTGTATAATGTATATAGTTTACCTTTAGAAACTGTCATGTCTCTCTCCATTGATATGTAGTGCCATCTGTTGGTTGAATTAGGTTGAAAAGATATTTAAGTACATGCATGATATGTTTACCATTTATAAAAAAATCTGTCTACATTTTTGGAATATCAAATGTGGATACCCACAGCGCAGTCAAGTAAGCTGGAGAAATCTTGTAGTGATAGTCAGAGCCGTCTAGGGACTAGCCATGCTGACATGATCGGGTAGGTGGTAGACAAAAAAGTTGCTGTTTCAGAAATTATTTAATTTTTATACTGGTAGCGACCTTTCTAGCATAAAATTAATATATATGTGCATAATATATCATAACCAATACTTTAAATTGTTGGTTTTTGCTTAGGAATTCAATGGGGTGATTTTTCAGTGTGTGAATTATTTGGAATCCCTGTCAGTCCCTATTATTAAGTTGTACCCTATTTAATAATATGGATCAACAGTGTTTATTAGATCTGCACTATCAAAATTATGGATCTCCTTTTTTTATTCATCCCATCAAAGAAAACTGAATCCTAAATACGATAATTAATTACATTAATGAAACATTTAGGTACCAAATTTATATGCTAAATAAATCCATTATTAAATTAAGAATGGCTAATTTCTTTTTTGTCTTGAACTATACAACAAATTATCACTGTCTCACCTAGAAAGACTTTCAAAGATTGAAGCACATCTTTATCTTCAAAACTATGGACAGAATCAAAATGTTCTTGTAACTGATTAATAGTTCCAAGATCCTGAAGACATATAGGACATAAAAGTCCTTCTCGAACCTCTTCCTCCTCTACCACATGAGATCCCAAAAAAGTGGCCATTTCTTAGCTTTATCTCAGTCTATGAGAGCTATTATCCATTTCTCATCATTTGTCACCTGTAACTGAATAATATTTTTTCTGCTTTAATTATTTACAAAGGAACAGAAACAGAAATCATATATAATGTTTACTAAGGTTATCATTCATACATTGTAAACAGAATATCTAACACCCCCTTAACAAAAAGCACTTAACATAAAACCAGGACAATCTTACAAGAATTATACTGAAAAATAGATTTCATAAAGTTTGCAAAATTAATATTGCTAATTCCTACAGATATAGTACCTTATAACAAACTTAACAGATTTATAAAATCCTATGAACTGGTAAAATAACATTTGGCAGATCTAGCAAGTCATCTAATGCATACATTTAAACAATGTAGAAAAAACCAAACATTTCTTTCAAAACTATACTAAATATAGACAGGTAAGATTATGAACAGCATATCTAACATTTTTGAAATGTATGTTAAACATAACATTCAGATAATGACTTGATATTTAGTTCTTCAAGGTTGTTCCCATGCACCCACTCTTGAGATAAGAAACATTATTAATTTCAAACTCAGTTTATTGATAATCCTACGTAAAACTAAACATGGATACATATCAGACACAGAAAAGGACCATTATTTTTCAGGAAATCATCAATTCCTCTTTTAAACCCTTGTAAGATGCTAGCCTTCACTATTACCAATGACAACTAATTTCATAAGTCAATTACCCTGTTACGAATATAAAACTACCTCAGCTAAAGCACATACTGTCTTTCCAAATCTTAAACTTGGGTTTGCTTATCCTATTATCTTCAAAATACAGCACAAAACAATTAGACTCCTTTATCACATCAATACCCCTGGATAATCTCGTAAACTTCAACAGATCAACTCTTCCCCTTCTTTACTCAAGAGAAAATAAGTTAACAGATATTAACCTATCCCTGTAAGATAACTCCGTCCATCCCTGTAATCATTCTTATAAACCTTTTCCAATTAATTTGATATCAGTTTCTAGATAAGCAAACCAATCTGTACACAGTTACACCTTAAGAATTTGTATAGCTAACAGCATCTATTATAAACAATTATTAGAAGTTCAAATCTCAACAGACTTTTTAATTACCACATTACAATTCATCTATAAATAGCTTCGCATGTTTCACTACAAGGTTCAGTCTACAAAGCAGAACTTCAAATGCTTACACCAAATCTCACATAAAATTTTCAGATATCCAGGCTTCAGTACAAAGCCAGAATTTAGTCACATTCAGAGCCTCTAAAAGAGGATATTTTTCTGCACTAAAATTTTGTCATTTATAGCTTTATTTCAGCATACTTTTACATAAATATTTCTTTTCTCAAAACAAATCCTCTTAAAAATCAATTTTAAGACACTTGTTGCTGGTGATTGAAATTTTTATGCCATCTGCCATTTCTCATTGTGCTGCAACATTGTTTCAGGCTCCATTCTGAGACATCCTTCAAGTGTGAAAGATTACATTTCAATTTGAAGAAAGACAGCATCAAGCTCAAACTGTTTCCCAAAACTAAGGAAACTAGTATGAGATGTCCTTAAACATTTCAACCAACAAGTTTAAAACACTGCTAAAATCAAGTTAAAAGAAGACTTGTTGTTATATAGTTGTTAAATACTATTTATTAAGCTAATTCTCTCACCACTAACTCTTTATTAAGCTAATTTTCTTATCACCTAACTCTATGCATCAACAAAACATGTCTGGTCTGTGGTTTGCTTGTATGCAACTATTTCTAGAATGCTGACAATCAGGAGTTGCTATATGGAAATAGTATCACACACACACACACTATGTAAAACAATTCAAACTTTTCTTGTAATGTTGTGTAGCTTGTTTTGAATAGCCACATGGTAATATTTGATAATGAATACTTAGTTTGTGAAACTTTGTTTTAAAGAAAAAACATTAATGAGTTTTTGGCACTTAACTAATATAATGCAAAAATCACTTTCAGTCTTGGATTTATATCAGACATAAACCAGTGTCAACATATGAGCAATATATACTATGTGTGATTCTGTTACACCAAACAGCACAGCCCAGAATTCTAGACCTGGAATTGTTTCTGTCAATTTTTATTAAGTAACTGCTCCTGATCCTTAACTTTAAATTCACCATACTGGTCAAGGGATTTTGTCCTATCATTTGATAAATATAGAGCCAATCACTAACACGAATTAGTTATATCCTGTTATTTACATGATAATTGTGAATATGCTAATACTGTTTAGCTAAAACTAAAAGTAGTGAACTGCAGCAGCTTTGATGCCAGGTTACTTGAAATACATCAACTAATAATAATATGGCAGATTAAACTAGTGACTCTAAAACAGTTAAGAAACAAACATTGCCAAAAATAATACATTTGAAAATACTAATTTTCACTTTGATCATCAGATATAAGCATCTTAATGGCAGCATTATTTAATAAGGAAAAATGTCAAAGGTATATACTGCTTTTGTGTTTCAACCTTCACACCTGAAAATTATTGTCACTTAGCATAATATTCATGCTAAACTGTCTAATCTTAAAATCAGAATCTTGATCTATTATAAATTAAAGTCACATCCATCATCTATGTTAACATTAGTATCAAAGTCAAAGAACAAAAACCATAAGATTCTGAAATGTGTTCTACACTTGTCTGCATGGGGCAAGAAAATTATAAAACAACCACAGTAGCAGTAGTTACATGGTGTAATGTAGAGATTGGAACTGCACTAACTTGTACTTGTAAGTTGTAACTAGTAGTAGAGCTCCGAGTTTAGTAATACAAATACTATTAGCAATAATACTACTACTACTACTAGTAGTAGTAATAATTACATTACTAACGAATACAACAACACCAGGCTTGGATTTTATACCGTAAGTCACATTGAAATAAACTGTTATGAAGTATAAGTTTCAATAGAGTATTTACTATTTAGTAATTTACACATTTTCATTCGATTTTGAGCTCCAGACCTAGACTAGAGTCAGACTGGGGTTATAACTTATAATTATATTATAAATATAAGTGTTAGGAAATTTTACATTACAAAAATAACAAGTTAAATATCAAATTATCAAAAGTGTATATTTACCAAAATAATATGGTTATAACAATACATTGTACGAGAAAATAGTCATCATAATTTCAGTGGTACAAGTTATAACCAGCAAACGCCCACAAATTACAGCCATCATATGTTCATACCCATAAATTTATCCCACTAGGGAGCAGTATATAGTAGTTAATTTATATTATTTTTAAATTAAAATAATTGATGAAGCGATTTCAAAAATTACATATAATGTTAAAAATATTAATGAAGGTATTAAAGGGTCAAACACTAAAACGAAAAACTGGGGGAAAATGTTATTGGGGTTCAAAATTTTGCGACGATGACTTTCTGAAACAATTGAAAAAAAAAGATATGCAGGAATATCATGTGTTTTCTACTATCTTTTTTAATGTAGAAATTTAATTGTTTTTAAATATCTAGCCAGTTTCTAGAACACTAGCCAGAAACACGTGGTTCAGAAAAATTGTTTCGTTATAGTTGCCTTTGTTTCTTTATTGTTCGCGATAGCAGTTAACACCTACTCTATCCTGGAAATATCACTTCAATGTTTTCTACCTATGGTTACGCCTCTGTGTTCGTTTGTTAATTTCCCGGTATAAATTCTTCCCGAGGAACTTCAGAGTCCTTTCTGAAATAAAACTAGTTTATTCTTTCTCAATTCAACTTTGCAATACACTTAATTTCCACAATCACTTTAAACACACGCTATAATTCACAATGATTCTCGCATTTACTTACGGTCACTACCGCGCTTGACTCAACTGTCCGTCTTTATCTCTGTCTGTCTGCAATTCAATTCCGAATAATTTGTCTCACGTTATCCGGCGCACTTATATACAGGAATAGAGGGTGCCTAACACATACTGGATTATTCGTACTGTTCCCAGATACTTCTAGAATATCATGACGTGTTACCAGAGTCACGTGACTGCCGCTGTGTAACACTGCCCCTTCCTTAGTATTGTCCGTTGCGAACAATAGCCACTTACATTAAACCAATAAACAATTAACAATAACTTAATTAAATATACAGAATTTACAAACACAAAATTAAAATTCAACAAAGTCTCTTAATTTTACGGGACGTGTCTTCTTTTGTATTGGTCTCCGTCTTGTTGGCTTCTGCTTCATCTGCTTCACAGGAAATGTCCTATCATCGGTAACAGTCACATCAGTGGTAGTAACTTCATCAAAAGCTTCACTGTTTCCCTTCTCAAAGCCGAATAGAGTTTCTTCTTCGACAGTGGCTTTTTCAGATGACAAGTCTTCAGCAGTGTCATTTGTTCCGTTGTTCACTTCATCCCAACTGAAATGTCCTGGACCGTGATAATGCCAAAGCCTGTTGGCGTGCACCACCTTTGGCTTACCTTTGTCGACCACATTTTATCCGGAAAGTCACGTCTGAGAGACGATCCACTATGTCATATGGGCCTTCCCATGGAGAAGACAACTTAGGAGACTTCCCTTTGGTCTTCCTG